CCCAGAAAGGTTTAGAAATTTGCTTCATCCAGGGGATAGAGCTTGCCAATGACATGGCTGTGTCTGGCTAGGAAGCTCCTTCCAGCGCCCAGGCTTCCTTCTTCCTGGCCCAGCCGGGAAAAGCAGCAGCCTGGTATGCCCCTGTGGGCTCAGCTCACGCAGGCCCGGCCCCTCGGTGGAGCCTGGAGAAAGAAAGGGACTCCAGGCTCCTAGTAACCGAGAGAGGCACCAGCTGCGTTCACAGGAGCCAGAGCACAGGGGCATAAAGCACAGGACATGCCCACTCTGCCCCATCTACCACCAGCATTAAACATGCTGCCCCTGGAAGGCCTAATGAACCTGAAAAGGGTTGAGTTGGCCCCTCTGGGAGGCGCAGTCCGCAGCTGGCAGTCTGACCTCACAGAGCTGCGGAGTTGGAGGGAAATGGAAATGTCCGTGGATGAACATCTTCCCGCGTGGGCCAAAAAACCCCAACCTATGCTGCCTTGCAAAACACGAGAGTTTTGAACAGCCACAGGCAGAAGCTCTGGAGGACAAGCCAATGTGACCCAGAGTTCAGAGGCAGATGGCAAAACCTTCTGGCTCCTTTTCACCCAGACAGTGACAGGAAAGGCCTCACAGGCCGAGCGAAGACCTGCCACTACCGTGCTGACCGCTACCTGAACAGGAGGCGGAAGGGATGAGGTGAGCTGGCCGAAAGGTACAAGTCCCTGTCAGCCAGCTGCAGAGAGGCACGCTGTGTACACCCCAGTTTGCACGCCTGCTCATGCTCTGGGCACACAGCCTCAGGTTCCTGGTCTTCCTGGGCTCCATGAGAGGCAGTGGTTAGCTAAAGGATGCTTGCTGAAATTCCTTCTAAAACGCAATCCTCAGCAGTGGCACCGTGCTGCTGGGTAGCCGCTCAGATCTGGCCAGCAGTGGGGATAGCCCTGTAGGGCAGGCGACCCACACCCCAACCCTAAGCTCACCTGTCCCCCTGTGTTTTCCCTGCTCTGCTGGCCTTGGGTCTCCCCCCTCACCCCCGGCTCCCATTTCTGTATTTATTTTTTGATTTAACCTTTAAAAGTTTTCCATTGTGTCACAAGGGAACTCTCTGGGGACACACCCTCAAGCAGTATGGGTTGTGACTCTGAGACCTGTTTCTGTCGCACAGGTGCAGGGGTTGTGAGCGGGCTGGGTGGGTTCTGAAGGGATGGCGCAGGCGTGGGCGGCCAGCGTGCTGCTGGAGCAGTGCTGCTTCCTTGCCAATGCTTCGGGCTTCTGGGACCAGGGCTAGTGGACTTCCAGAACCTGGAGAGTGTTCGTGACTTTCTCTCTGCTCCACCAGCAACAAGAGATGAACCCCGACTCCAAAGACAGGCATAGGAAAAGGTGGTGACGGAAAAGCATGTACACCGTTATTTTCGAGACAGAACTTTCCGAAAAGCAGTGGATGAAAGCATCCTCTCCTATCTACAGTGACTCACACAACAGTTAATAAATTTCAAACACCAGTGACCTCGAAAGTACACTGGATGAGCCCTTCTAAAAATGCTGGTAATCTTAGAAATCAGAGGTTGGCTGCACTCGGCCGCTCTTTCATCTTTAAAAACAATAAAGCAGTACACAGTGTGCTGCCCTGTTACCGTAGCCAACTTTTCCCCCTTAAAATTAGGGTTTGATGGGAAACCAGGATCTTTTAAAACTCAGAGGGAAATGTGAGGGGGGCAGCAGATCACAGCTGAACCTGGGGCAGACCACAAAGGTGACCCAACTCCTTTTTAACGAGCAGTTCCGTCTCCTGGGCTCTCCTTCCTGTAGGTCACAGAGTACAGACTGGAAAATGCATCCGCTTGCTGTGAACAGGCTTCTGCTAGTAGCACCTGCCATCCTGCTGGTCAGAGCACCTCTGCTAGCTGATGTTGGGACCCGTGGAGGTGGGGTTGGGTCTTTTGGTTTGTAGCTCAGCGTGGTCTGGGAAGCCATGATGGCAGCCGCGGTGGTCAGGCCTTGGCCCTGGGGCCCCGTCTCCCCAGCTTGCTCCGTCTGAGTCTTCCTGTGGATCATGCATTCATCTGTCATGGGCCCAACTCTCCCACAACCTCAGGCAGGGATTAATACCTTCGTTCCAAAATTGCATCGCCAGGAAAAAACAAAAAACGCTGTAGTCTACTTGAGATTTTTTTTTTTTTGCTGTGATTAAAACTTTTATTGAAATCTCTCAAATGTCACCAAGAAATAAGTTTTTCTTTTTCTCTTTTTCTCAAAAGGGGATGGGGAGGGGAGGGGAGCTAACAAATTCAACATGGGAGCTCCCTCTGCTGGTCTGCAGTAGGTTGATATGTGACAAACACATTCCCAGAGACAAATCTAATTTGCTGAAGAAGTGGACAAAAGACAGGTGTGTTGGGCTTTGCCTCAGGAGAGAAACACTAGAAGAAAAAAAAAATCCATGTCTCAAAATAGAGCACAACATTTGCTAAGAAAAACAAAATTACTTAGACGACTCTTCCAAAGACATTATAAGATTTCCAAAACAAAAAAACTGAGTTTATCCGGGAAGGGGAGATGCTCCATTTGGGGCTTCCCCACTGTGCTAACAATTCATAAAGTTCTGAGGCCCTTTGGATGCAGCTAAATGCTGATTCCCTTGACTTTGCCACCAGGTCTCTTCTTACAGGCTTCCCATCTACTTAGAGAAGAGAGTTCCAAGGAGTCATTGGAGCGAAGCCTCTCCACAAGTCCACTAAAGAGTAAGTCTTTGGTAAGCCGACACCCTGGAGAGTTAGGAGCCCAGCCTGAGAGTCAGGTGACCGACCAGGATCTAGTCAGAGCAGAGCCACTGATTTAGGGTAAGGTAACTCTTCATCTTCAGGCCTGTTTCCTCATCTGGTAGAGGGGCTAGACCAGCTGATCTGTAAAGCCTACGAGTCCCCAGAGGGACAAGTAAATTAAGGAACCATGTTTGTTCATGCATCTTTGGGATACAGAGTTCAAGGGTGCACTGAGAATGACTCCAATCTCACTAATACCCGATGAGAGTTCCACCAAATCTGGGACCGACGGCAGAGTCAAGTGGATTCCGAGCTGGGGAAGTCTCCAGAACAAGGAGGATCTCCCAAGGAGAGTGCCAGGTGGGTGCTGCATCCCACTAAGGCACACAGCCGAGTCCAGCTAATCCCGCACTCTCTCCATCCTTCCTCACAATGGTGGAGGGCTTTCTAATCTCTTAGGACTCACTAGATCCTTCTCTCAGAATCACTTCCGGTTTTATCCATCATGTATGGCCCAAAGCCATCATTTTTTTCCTTTGGTTTTGTTTTTTGTTTTGGCCACTGTCTACTCCTGGCTCTTTAGAGCACTGATGAAAGAAAAGGCTTTGTTGATGACTGAGCAAAGCCATAGCTATTCAGAAGACTATGCAAACTCACATGGTCTCAAAATTATTAAGAATGGCTTGAATCGCCAATTGCTCTGTATCTGAACCATCTAGTGAGTTTAGGAAAAGAGGCACATAGGGTAGGTAGATCTTTTGTCTGGCCAACAGAAAAGGTTCTTTTGGTTGCTTTGTATTGCCTCCAAAGTTATTTGAGCACAAACATACTAATAACTCAGGCACAGGATTGCATCTTATCTTCTCCTATTACCTACCAGCTGTCAGGGTTACCAAGCACTGACTTTGTTAATGGACAGAAAGTGGAAAAGACAAAGCCAGTCCTGGAGTTTGTCTTCTGCGCCAGGTCCTCCTAACTGACACCATCTACATTTTCCATCATTATCTGTACTGCTTTCTACTTCATTCTCTCAACAGACAGGAATTACTACAGGAGTACAGGTACATAGTCCTTCCTTTGCCGTTTGCCTGCGCAGAGTCTGGGTGCTAGGGGACAGCAGATCCTGGATGGCCGTTGCTAGCACAAGCAGAAAGCACTGGGGACTCAGCTGAAAGATAATGGAAGGATGCTTGGCCCCCTGACCCAGGTTCCTAAGACCCTTACTGGTAGATGCTTAACACAGACCTGGGCAACAGGACAGAATTTTAACTCAAAAGGAAGAGTGTAAGGAGTCTGTTTATCTCGTCTAGCCTTGTAAATGAACACTACAAATGAACAGTAAGCAAAACAAAAATCCCACCTGATCAGCCTGATACTTTGTTTAAAAACCAGGCTGAGTGATGAATCTGTATTCATCTGTATTCATTATTCATGCCTATGGTTTATATGCTTTCCATTTATTTGCTATTGAGCATCACTCTTTGAAGGCCTAAGAATGAGCAGTTATTTCTAAGGTGAATCTTAACACTGTTTGCTACCAATCACACTAAAAAGAACACTCTGATTACTGTTTTCTTCAAGGGGGAGAGGACATGTTAGTATGTAGACAGTCACTGTGGGGAGAAACAGGGAGTTTGTTTACAAAACAAGCTATTCTTAAATTAGAAAGAAAGCTGGGCAGAGCACAGTTTCCCACCTGACCTTGTAGTTACCTTCTATTGTACCTTTCCTACCCCATTTCCTACGCATGCATGAGAATAAAGAACCCTCATCTTTCCAGAAGCATCCCCTCGGTCACTTGATTTCTTCCTCCTCATGAGATAAAGAGCAGAAGCCTAATAGTACACAGAAACACAGACACACCTAATTCCTGATCCATGTGCCTCAGCAGCCTTTCTACATGACCAGGCACACACATCATCTCTGCTCTGGTGATGCCCTCCAGCTCGCTGGGGACCAGGGAGTAACCTTGGCCCAGTTCTCGTGTGTGAGATATGGGTGAGAACATTGAGGAAGACAGAGGTGTTGTTTGGGGCAGACATCAGGCAGTGGGGGGGTATCATGGCTGTCAGATGGTCCTCTAAGTCCTGCAAGGGGTCAGCTAGATGGAGGGGGGAGGGTCATTCATCTCTTGAAGGTGGCTCTGTTAGCTGGATAGGTGTTAGTTGTATGGTGTGCTCTGGGGAACCAGGTTTGAAAGGACTGGTGGTGGAGTGAGTGAAGTCGTGGCCGATGGGTATAAATTACCTGGGCATGCAGTGAAGCGGGATAGGTGAAAGCAGGAGGAGGTAGAGCAGGCGCTAGCTCCGCTGGGTACAGAGGGTACGGGGCCCACACTTCAGGGCTACTGGGGTAAAGTGCAGGCACTGTGAGCTCATCTGCAAGAAAAGAATAAGGGAAGAGTTAGTGGTTACCAAACAGCTGCTTTTACATCAAGAAAACAAAACACAGTCACCCCGAGCCCCGCCAATGGCAGAAGTCAAATTACTCTCATTCTTTTCACAACCTGTTGGCTTTAGCCTCCCCCACTCTATGCAAGGGAACAGTAAAGACCAAACAAACAAGACACCAGGCATCTGCTGTGTGTCCGGCCAGCTGAGATTACAGGACTGGCCTCTCTCTGCCTGAAGGACTCTGATGCTGTTCCAACAGTAGCCGAGAACCCAACCACAGTGGGAACATTCTGAGCCACATAGAAAATACCGTCCTCCGAGGAGAGGAAGAGAGAGGGAAGGCCACCAGGAGCTATCCTATGAGAGCATCCGCACAGCTTCTGGATTACTGGCAGTACCCCAGCAGACCCAAAGATCTGCAAGACTTGTTTACCAGTATGGCTGTTACCAACAAAAGTCCAGCCTTTTCCAATCTGTCCTGAGATACACAGGACCAACCACTGAGACCCATTTAAGATGGTAAAGTTCAGAGAATGGAAGTGAAACAGTTTAGACAGCCTAATTTGTTAGGTTCCACAAAGATGCAAACATAAGCCCTTACAGCTGCTGCATACTCTTATCTTTTCTAGGGGAAAAAAATGTCATGTTACCAACGATTGGTCTAAAAGCTTCACATGTATCCCCAGCTCCATTCAGGTCAGGTTTGCTAGACTGAAGGGCAAATGTCCGGATCGCCTCCAATGGATCAGGAAGCAATCCATTAGAAAGAAGGGCAAGCATACGAGCGAGCTTCTCAGCAAAGGCAGAAATAACATCAGTCAATAGTTACAAATCTGGACCCTGTGAAGCAATATTTCAATATTTGCTTTTATCACCTGTCAAAATCTGAAATCAAGTGTGCCAAGGATGCTACTCAAGACTGCAGAGGGAGTCAGACAAGGGTGACTTGATAAAACATTAGTAACTCTGAAGGCAAGAGCCCAAGGTCAGCGGTTAACTTCCTTACTCTCTCTTTCCTCCAAAGCTGCAGTCCCAGGCCAGGATGAGGGCAGGTGGAAGGTGGGAAAGTAGCAGGATCTGTGGGTGGGTGAGCACCAGATGGACAGAGGCAGGGGAGGCTCTGAGTGGCCAGAACTTCTCCAAGGATAGCAGGGAGTCAAGGGCTGACCCATGACTCCATTCAGAACAACTCACACTCATTTCCAGACTTAATGGGGCCCCAACATGTGGGTTAATACATTCCACTGCAGCGGACCTCCCAAACCCACTCCTCCTTTCAACAAGTTAAAGTGCAAGTGATGGGAATCTTGATTGCCTGTGAATGAAAGAGTGAGACTCTAGAAGAGGACTGACAGGTCTACAAGTTCAAAGACTTGTGGTCCAAACCACCTACTTGAAGGTCTAAAGTGTGTGTGTATCTGTCGCCGGAGGCTCAGGAAACCCCTTGGAGGGGCTGAGAACACTCTACAGATCCCTATTTCCTGTCAGGATGTGACCATATGCTTTCCATTACAGCAGTTCTTGTGGGAGCCTAGCTAGTGGAAACTAAGGGCTGCCAGGACCAGGGCCTTGGATTTTAAACAAACAGCCCACTCTCAGCAATGGCAAGCTATTATTGTTGTTGTTATTGTTATTTTAGCTACCAGGCTATTTTAAGACATTCTGAGTCTTATAAAAGTCAAGAGCATCTCAGGCCCCAAGACGCTGATCTCCAGCTCATGCTCTTGTGGCCCTCTGTGACAGTTTAAGGCTGTAGAGCTCCTGGATCAACTGATACCAAGCAATGGGGGCCGGCAGCAGGGCTGGGGTTCTTCCTCAACCTTTAACAGGAACTGGTTATCTCAGGGGCCTTCACCTGATAAAGGGGTGCCTCCGGAAGAAAGTTTGGAAAATGAAATAAATATGTCCTTGCTAGTATCTGGTCAGAGAGACATAAGGTGGAATCGGGTTTCAGTCTTGGTCTGAGTGGTGGAAAGGATCACTTCCAGACCTTTCCGAAATGCTGATCCTGAAGCATGACTGGTTTCTATCAGAGCCAAACAAATACCCAGAGACACTTCAGCAACTGTGCAGACTTAGTTCAACAGAATGAGAATGAACTTGCACTTGATGAACCTTTATCCCCTTCCCCCGTCTTCCTCATGGAAAGGAACGGGATTCTTTTGCGTGTCCAGGCCCATGCAGTGACTCAGGTCAGGAGCCCATCAGAAGGAGTCCTCAGATACCTACATTCCAGCAGAGGTGAGAACTCTCCAGAAACATGTTCACTCTGCCCCCCTACTCCCCCCAAAAAGAGGTCATTCAGCAGAATGAGCTTTTTGCATATAGACACTCTTTTGGGGTGCCAATGTGGTGTTGAGACTAATGTTTGACTGTAGTTTCCCTTTCCCCTCTTCCTTGCTCAGCGGCTCAACCTCAATAGTAGAGAAGAGAAGAGTGGCCCAAAGTCAGAAGTAACAGCCGTGGAGAGGGCGAGACTCCTAGGACAAAAGGGCTGCTGAGCACTCAGGTGAGCCGAGCACCAGTGGGCTGAAAGGGGGCAGAGGCCAGAGGCCAGGGCCTTTTTATCTGGGCCTAATCCCACCATCCATAGATGGCTACCTCCTCTCCCCAGCCTCAACCTTCCCCCGCGCCGCCCCCCCCCCCCCCCCCATCCCACGATTATGACTAAAGGGAATATACATCTCAATAGATCTTTTTTCCTTCACAGGAGTATATGCAACCAGAAGAAAAACAAGAATCTCGGACTTTCCGGTCCACCCTTCAATCTCTCAGGAAAGACAGCAAGGAGAACTGAGTCCTGGAAGATCACCTAGTCTCCTTTCCTTTAACACAAGGGAAGAAGCAGAAAGGTGTAGAGGAGACAACTCTAAGTGCTGAAGACACGGAAGAAAGGCAAGTCTCTGCTCAGCTCTCCCATCAAGGTCTTATCACAGACCTTGATCGTGGTTATCACTTCAATTATTCACTCTATTTATTCAGAAGTCTATTGTTTTGAGATTTACTCCAAGGTAAAACATCCTAAATTCATTAACCCAACTGCAATCACAAACCAGTTCCTCTCCTTACTTCCAATATATTCCTTTATCCCTCTCACTCAGGCAGAAGGCCTCCTTCGCCACCCATATCCAAAGAGTTGCCAAGTCCTAGCAATAAAAATAGCAGAAAGTAATAATGACAGGAGTGGTGGTAATGAGGACAGGGGCTCATGTTTACCAAGTAAGCCCTGCATGCTAGTGCTCCAGGATTAATATTGGCCTCTATTCAAAATGGAGGCCACAGAAAGGTTAAGCATGGAGCCCAGTAACCCACAGCAGGCGAGAGAACAGGACTGTGAACAGTCTCCTGAATCCCAACTCTTCCCCTCTGCCCTCCACAGAAACCTCCTCAGCATTTCTCATGCTCTTCCTTGCGTCGGTGTTTCTGCTACCTGAATGAAGGGTCTCAGCCTGGCCCTCTGTCTCCTGAGTGTAACTTTATTCCTATCACAACACACTCTTGGAGCAGCAATTTAATCCAAACACAGACCCACAAAGTAAGTTTGCCCAGGAAACTCCTAAAGCATGCTGGTCTTGAGCCTTCTGCTGCAGGGGTTTGCCTGTCATCACTCTCAGGGCCCCTTTCTTTCCTTACAGTCCAACTCTCTTATTGGAAACCACCCTATGCAATCTCGGTTTTAAAAGGATCTGCTTCAACACCCGGAGGGGAGGAAACCCAGAGCAGGAGCAGGAAAATATCCCTCTGGGGACTGCTACAGTTATCTATTCTTGTTCAGCACATTGGGACATTTTCATCATTCCTCTTCCTTCCTGTGACCTGCAGCTGTGGGAAGAGGATTACTCAGTTTCCCTAGGCAAATCCATTCCCAAGCCTGCGTGGCTACAACATCCATTATCTGTCAGTCCATCAGCAAGCCTGACCGCTTAACAACTGCAGTCAAGCTTGGATGTGAACAGATGCACTGGTTTTATGTCACATGAACATCATGACTACACTGGCTCAGCCAACTCCACTGCCATTTTGGTATACTTGCTTCATGAAAGGGGCACTGATGTACTTGGAATAAAGTAGACCCAGTCGCAGGATGTCCTCTTGATGGGGATGGTGGAAGATTCAGAACAGAACATGAGGTGGGGCTGTACGCCTCCCTGTGGAGCTGTGCTTGTGCAACAAGCTTCACAGAATCCTTTGTAAAGTGTCTTTACCACCCTTCCCTAAGAAATGGAGAATGTTAACCAAGATGCTAGTGATGGACCAGGCAATAGTTCCAGGAAGGACCAGGCCATGAATGTAAGAAATGGCACTCTAGAGTCTATTCTCTTAACCACAACACTACAGTCAACCTATCAGGAAGGTTATGCCCAACCATCAAGTTAACTTTATGAAGGGAGGAAAGATAGATCAGACCTTCAACAACAAAATAGGGCAAATAAAGCTGGGCACTGGTGCTCATACCTGTAATCCTAGCTACTCAGGAGGTTGAGATCTTACGAGATTCAAAGCTCGGTTGGGCAGGAAAGTCCATGAAATGATTAGCTCCAATTAACTACCAGAAAACCAGCAGTGGAATTGTGGTTCAGAGTGGTAGAGCTCTAGCCTTGAGTGAAAGAACTTATGGACAGTGCACAGGCCCCGAGTTCAAGCTCAAGGACTGGCTTGTGCGCTGGCATGTGCGTGTGTATGTACACGCGCGCGCGCGCGCACACACACACACACACGGAGAGGGGAGTGGGAGATGAAAAACACAATGGTACTTTGAAAAGCTAAATTCTGAACAGCCTTTCCAGTCCATGGTAATATGCAATTAATGAATTTTGTGTGATGCTGGTGATAGCACCAAGGATCTTGGCCCATGTAGACAAGTGCTCCACCATGGAACTATGTCCCAGCTTGCTTTTTCCACCATAGAACTATGTCCCATGACGACCCTGGACTCCAATGCCCGGCTTCTCTGCATTATAAATAACAGCCATGTGCATCACAAG